CTATGTAACTGACTGCATCCCTTGCTTTTTTGGCATCCAAGATGATCAGAACCAAATTTGAGGCTAAAGCACAGAACACTAGAGCCCCCTATGGTCTATTAATTGTGGTCTTTTGTCCCTGGGAGAGGCAGACTAGGTCAGCAGTTAAAGGCATGGGTTTCAGTATTAAACTAGATTCAAATACTGGCTCGACCACTTACTAGCTAAATGATTATGGCAGCATGTTTATTACCCTGAGCATCAGTTCCCTATGCTTCAAAAGAAAGATAATAATAGTACTTACCTCACAGGACTCTTTTAAGGACTAAATGAAATAATGTACACAAATTCCTTTCCACACAGGAAGAACTCAATAAAAATCAGCTGTAATTATTGAGCTTTAGTCTTGTCTCTCAAAGTTTATTTACATTTTCCTTGGTCCTGATTCTTTATTGGTACTTTCACATTGTTTTATGGTTTCTGCTCCTGTGGTAAGCTACCTCAAATCCTTTGGGGATTGGGATGGGTTTAAATACATAAGCAAATAAATAAAAATCTGGATAGGGGAACATTTTTGCTGAAGCAAAACATTTCATTACTAATAGAGTGAATTGCAAGTGAGGCCAAAAGCAAGAAATATTGACTCTAATATCCAACAGTCCATCAAAAACCACTAACAAGACATTCTCTGGTTTTTCAGACCATCTTTCTCTCCCCCTCCACCTCTTTCTCAGACCCCTCTTTCTTCCTCCATCAAGAGACAGAAAATAGGTTACATAGAATGACCCAGTAAGATTCCTACACCTTCCCAACCTCACAGCTGTTTCACTGACATGGACCTCACAAAACTCTCCTTCATCAAGAAAGAGAAAGGAAATCAAAAGAGTCACTTTCCATGGTGATAGGGTTAGGGGAGAAGGGTGCTGGTTAAGTGAACAGAGTCAAACATAGGCTAGAATCTCATTACTGCCATTAATTGGTGGGCTCTATGGCTGTAGGAAAGTCCTGGACCTCTCTGCGCCTCAGCTTCCTCATTGGTAATAAAAGTTCCTCCCTCTTAAGGTACTTGTGCAGATGAAAGGAGAAAATATAGGAAATCATCATATTTAGCATACTTTTAAAGCCCTCAATAAATTCTAGATTTTCCTTCCTTAAGGAAAGGTAATGCTTTAGGTAATGCTCTTCAATCAGAGGGGTGTACAGGGAAGAAATGGGGTGAGAAGACTAGTTTAGGTATATCCCTATCTGACAGAAACTCAATATCAATGGAACATGATCATTTTTTTTGAGCCCCCTACTACCTTAGAAATATTATCACACTTCTTCCTTGCCATAACCGTTTGACATGGGCATTACTCCCCACATCTGACAGCTGAGGCTAGGCTTTGAACCCAGAGCACACAAGTCAGAAGGTTTTGGAGGCAGCTCTGGCCTTCCAAAGTTACCTTTATAATGGGTAACACCTTCAAGCTATGAATGAACTAACATGGTATATATGGCATATGTGTACCAAGGAATACTCTTCATCCATAAGAAAAGATGGAGACTTTGCATCTTTTGTATTAACCAGGATGGAGTCAAAGAATATTCTCCTTATACTAATATGGGCTGGGCATAGTGGCTCATGCCTGTAATCATAGCACTCTGGGGAGCCAAGGAGGGTGGATTGCTTGAGCTCAGGAAGTCGAGACCAGCCTGACCAAGAATAAGACCCTGTCTCTACTAAAAAATAGAAAAACTAGCCAGGTCTAGTGGTATACACTTGTGGTCCCAGCTACTTGGGAGGCTGAGGCAAGAGAATCACTTACCCCAAGAGTCTGAGGTTGCTGAGAGCTATAATGACACTACAGCACTCTACCTAGGGCAACAGAGTAAGACTCTGTCTCAAAAATAAATAGATAAATAAAATACTAATATGAAGCTAGTAGATGAACAACTGTACAACCACACAAGAGAAAAACATAATTAAATTCAATTGCAGGGGGAATGGGTAAGTGCTCACCTAATGGGCACAATGTAAGGATATATGACACACTTCCTGGGTGAAGGGCTTATCTACAACTTGGCCTTTATCAACAAACACAAACAGCATAACCTAATCACATGTACCCTTATATTAATCTGAAACTTTTTTAAAAAATAAAGGGCAACCACCACAGGACACTGCAGGCAACACTAACAGGAACCCATGAGGCTCCACTCCACTTGGAGTACCATGAACTCTGTGACTCCTGAACTAGGGATGGCAAAAATCTGGGCCAGTCTGACACTGCTGAAGTTCTCTAATCCCCTCTCTCTCCCCTTCCTTCCATCAGCCACAAGGGCATTCACTATTCTACAAGCTGAGAACTGGCTATATCTGAATTTGAAACGCACATGCCTTAGGTGATTTAAAGTAAGTAATTTTCTTTCTAGTTACTGTTCTGAAATTAGGGACATCAAAATGCCTACCTCCCAAAGTTGCCATTAAGATTAAACAGAGCGGGCGGCACCTGTGGCTCAGTGGGTACGGTGCCGGCCCCATATACCGAGGGTGACGGGTTCAAACCCGGCCCCGGCCAAACTGCAACCAAAAACAGCCGGGCGTTGTGGCGGGCGCCTGTAGTCCCAGCTACTTGGGAGGCTGAGGCAAGAGAATCACCTAAGCCCAGGAGTTGGGGGTTGCTGTGAGCTGTGTGACGCCATGGCACCCTACTGAGGGCCCTGAAGTGAGACTCTGTCTCTAAAAAAAAAAAAAAAAAAAAAAAAACTTTACAGGAAAAAAAAAAAAAAAAAAAGATTAAACAGAGCAGTGCACTGAGAACACACAGAACAGGGCCTGCACATACCAAAGTGCTCATTTATGGCAGCTGCTGTTGTTACAATGATGCAGTCTGGGGAAAGTCAGCCTTATGCGAATGATGGTGATGATACTCCCAGAGAGGAAGAGCAGGTCCTTGCACACTGGCTGACATGTCTACCCACACTTCTATACAGCCCAGGCAGAATGGCTTGGTTATCTACCATTTGTTCCTTCACTTCCCATTCACGGGAAACTCCTTGAGGGTAACAGAGACCTAGCTGGGCTCTTGCCCCTCTCAAGGAAAAAAATAAAGAAGACTATCAAGGCCCAGCCTAGGGCTTCCCAATCAGTGCCCTTTGTCCACAGACATGTACTAATGCATTCTGTGCTGGGAACTGGGGAGAAAGAAGATACCCAGCCCCACTTCCCAAGAGTTCATAGCATACCTGAGGGGAAAGACAAGGAACCGGTATCTCACAACAGACAGAAAATAATAAGGGCTGAGGGTCCCTGAGAATATCAGAGAAAACTCCATGAAGAAGGAGGTGGTGTTAGTCAAGACACGGGAGGATTGCATTCCAGGCTGAAAGGACAGCATGAACAAAGGCCTAGAGATGAGAAAATATAGCGTTTGTTTAGAGAACGGAACAGCTAGATGGGAATGGAGGACTGGGAGAAGAGGCGACGGAGCGGTGAAAGGCCAATGAGCCTAATAAGCAGGAAATACAAAATACAGATCTTAAGTACCTCAATTGATGGAATGGAAATAGGCCTGCGATTTTAAACAAGATAGTCACAGAAGACCTCTCCTGGACGACACATTGAAGAAGTAAAGGAATGAGCCGTGTGACTATCTGAGGGAAGAGTCGTTAGGCAGAAGGAACAGCTGTGCAAAGGTCCTGAGGCCACAAGGTGGCTGCCATGTTGGCAATGCATTATAAAATGCCAGTGTAAGTATAGCGTGGGAGGAATGGGGAGAATGGTTAGGTGAGAGGTTAGAGAGCTACTTCATGAAGGAAGGGCCTTGCAGGTCATTATGGGGGCTTTGGCTTTCACGTCGATAAAATGGAGAACCATTGCAGGAGTTCCCGTAAAGAACAATGAGCTTTTAAAAAGGAGTGCTCTGACTGCTGTGTAGAGAATCAACTGCAGGGGGCCAAGAGTGGAAGCTGAGAGACCAGTAAAGAGGCTATGGCTGAAATCCAAGCAAAAGAGGATGGTGGTAGGAACCAGGATGGTAGCCGGGATAGCCAAGTGGTGGTTCGGTGTCGCTTCCCCGTGTAAAAAATGGAGCTTGGAGTCTTTGCTCAAAGGTTCAAAAAGCCCCCATCGAGATGGAATGTCGGGAACCTCCAGCCAGGTGGAAGGCAGCCTGGGGAATTCGGGATTGTGGAGGGCATGGGCAGCTCTTTGCGCGTCTGAGCAACTGGAGCCCACGAGAAAGCCAAAACAGGTGCGCGCCCAGCGACGCACTTCAGGAGAGCGAGACCCCAATGCAGGGAGGGTGTCCACTATCTGTTATTCCCCTAGAGGCTTAAGAGGGAAAAGTAGGAAAACACTCGCCTCCGCGGAGCCCTGGAACCGGTCCCGGGCAGCCAGCATTGTGTGCGCTCGGGTATGCGCTCGCTCCGTGTGCTCAGGTGTGGGCATGGTGCGGGGGACGCCACAGCATGCCCTCCTTTCACCGCCTCCTTTCCCAGTTTCGACCCCTTTGTCTCACTTGCCCCTACTCCCTTCTGTGGGCCTGTCTGTCCCGCCCCGAGCTCGGCACGCACAACCCTACTGGGGTCCCTCTGGCGGTAGCCGTAGCCGCACAGCTGGGACCTGGGGCTTCCAGGAAGAGAAAAATCATGAATGAAATGGATGCAGTGTTTTCACTCCCCCGCCCTCCCTGTCCAGGCAACCCTGGCTTGGGCGCGATGGCTGCGGGGACTCCGCACAGAGTTGCTGAGGAAAAGAGGGACCACTGCAATGGGGTCAAGGGTTGAGGATGTGTGATCCGAGACCCTCGGGCCTTGGGCGGCTGCCGGAGCTCCCAACCCCCCAGCCCCGCGGGCCCTGCGCAATTCCCGGGGAACGGCGCAAGCCTGCCGGGGGCGGGGTGGATCTGGGGCCTGGGAGTGCAGAACCGACCCGGCGGCTGCGCCCGCGACTCCGCAGCTGAAGCGCATTTAGTAGGGCGGTCGGGCGAGGGAGCGCGCACGGAACGCGGGACGGAGCGCCGGGCGGACGGACCGACGGACGGACGCCCCCGCACACGCAGACGCACAGAGCTCCGCGCGGCCCCCGTCACACATACATTGGCACAGAGACACACAGGGACACACGCAGACACACGCACACTCGCGCGCGCACAGCCTCCCGCCGGCCTGCCCGCTCGCTCGCCGGCGCCCGGAGCCCGCTCTGGCCGGTAAGTGAGGCGCCTCCGTTGGCGCCTTTGTGTGGGTAGTCGGAGGGTGGAAGCCGCGGGTCCCTCCCGAGGCTGCCCCGCAACTGAGACCTTCTTCAGCCTTCCAGGCAGAGGAACCGGCGCCCGCCCCCGCCACGCCCCCATGGGGTTCAGAGCGCCCCCAGACTGGGGGAGGGGTCCCCAACGATGGGGACAGGGCTTGGTGCTTGGTAGCGGAGAGCGAGCGGCAGCCACTCCCCAGGAAGCTCGTGCGCGGCTCCGGGAGGGAGCGGGATAGCTGTCCGGGGTCCGAGTTTGCGGCCGGGGCTAGTGCGCGGCTCTTGCCTGCATCGGCTCTCCGGAGTCTGAATCCCTGGAAGAAGGCTGGAAATCGCCGCCAGCCTGCTGGCCTCTAAACCGCGCTTCCCAGCCTTCCTATCATTTCGGCTCCTCCGACCCTTTAGCTACCCGCGTCCCACCCACCCTCAAAATAAAAGCCAGGCGCGTTCCCCTCCCCCAGCATGCCGATTTTTTTCTGGATGAGGCCCAGACTCCTGCAAAACCCAGAGACTGCCCTGGTCAGAGCCTTGGAGGGACTTTCCTTATCAAGGATCACGTGGCTTAAAAGGTCAGAAGGAGAGGAACCTTGTAAACTCATTTAACCCCATCTTTTACAGACGGGGAAACTGAGGCCCAGTGAGATGTCTTAACCAAGGTCATCATCAAAGAGTTAGTGTCTAAGCCTTCATTAGAATCTAGGGTCTCTGGCTGTCAAAGCCACTTCCTTCCCCCAGATTTAATGGGGAAGGAATCTCCTCAAAATTCACCTGTATTTACCATGTGAGTCTGTAATGGCTCTGCCCCCACTTGAAGCGGCAGGTGCCATTCATTTGATTGGCCTTTAATTTGCCTCATTCACCCTCAATGGAGACCTCTCTTATGCAAGCACTCCAGTTTTGGGATTTAGGGTGGGGAAATAAGCCTTGGACCAGAGATCAAATTCTGGGATGTTAGTCCTTAACCTCCCAAGAGTCCCTGGGTCTGAGTGTCCTCAGTTGGACCAGGTAATGTGGCATTCAAGGAGTCATCCCCTTCCCCCCACTTTGACCTGACTGCATGCCCTCCCAGTCACTCTCCTCTCCTTTTTCAGGGCCCTGGTCTTCTAGTCCAGCCAGGCCCCTTCTGTCATCCCTTCATGGGGGTTCCCCCAGTCCTTCATGCCAGGCCACCTCTTCCTTCCTGGTGTTTGTTAAGTGAAGCCTCTTGGTATTGCTGACAAAGCTGCGGGGGAAGCTTGAGTTACAACCATACCAGGCTCAGGTGGTTTCTCAGCACAGGACTCCCTCAAGGGCAGCAGGGTGTCCCCAGAGCTGAGCCTGATGTCTGGTGCAGAGAGAGTGCACTGAGGTATGTTGAAGGAGCACAAGCATAGGTGGATGGTGAAGGGATGCTGTCAGTCACCTTTGAGGAGACTCTAGATCAGTGGTTCTCAACCTGTGGGTCGTGACCCCTTTGTAACAATGAAAATACATCCTGCATATCAGATATTTACATTATGATTCATAACAGTAGCAAAATCATAGTTATGAAGTAGCAACGAAAATGATTTTATGGTTGGGGGTCACCACAACATAAGGAACTGTATTAAAGGGTCACTGCATTAGGAAGCATTAGGAAGGTTGAGAACCACTGCTCTAGATAGTATTCTTGTCAAGGAGGGCAGTGTTCAGACTCCAGGGGCCGAAGGCTCCTTTCTTAAGAACTTCCTTCTTGAGTAGGGTGAGCAGCCTGGTGTGGAGCAGAGCTAATGTGGTCAAGTGGCGTAACTCCAGGGGCCACCACTGATGTTGAAGTCCACATAATAACATTGTGCTCCAAGAGGTGCCACTTACATGGACTTCATAATGATTAGTGGCCCCTGGGCTTTTGCCATGTGGAGGTTTCTGTCCTGAGAGTGAAGGGATCTGGGTTCCAAGCCCAATCTCTTCTTTGCTGGCTCTACAGTTTCGGTAAATGCTCATAACCTCTCTGGGTCTCAGTTTCTCAAAAAAAATAAGATGATTGGATGGAGATTTTCCAGATATCATTCAGATTTGAACTATTTGTTAGGGGGTTGGGAAGAAAGGAAGGAGAACACTTATTTCTGTAACTGCTGTGGACCTCTTCTACTCTGTGAGGGAATAATTCCTCAAAAAGATAGTGTAGGTAGTGCCCTTAGCACAGTGCCTGGGGCATAGAAAAACCTCAGAAACTGGTAGCTAGTAATACTATTAGGGCCCTAGCTTTATGGAGATAACCTCCACTTCTTCCCTTCTTTAGATCATCCAAGGACATGAGATTTTAGGGCCTCAATGTCTTCCTTCCTCAAAAAAAAAAAAAAAAAATCCCTCTCCCACTGACATAATCCTGTACTTAGGGCTCAGTCAGCTTACAACATTCATGAAACCTCCCTGGGAGGAGCAGCACTTTTGTTTATCAGTTATTTTGCATCTTAGCATGATATAACTTAATAGTCTTCAGTGTCAGAAGTTTTTCCTACACTCTGGCACTTATATTTAGTCCTCATAACAGAGTTTTGATAGCAATTGTGTTATCATCCCCATTTTATAGATAGGATAGTTAAGACCTTAACTTACCTAAGGGTACCTTTAAAGTCTCAGCAAGGCCTCCAGATGGTCTGACTCCAGATTCTGAACTCTCTATTCCACATCCTGTTGCCTGTCTGTTCCCCCAGTTGTGCAAAAAAAGAGACAGAGAACCCCTTAAAAAGAGTTGAGAATAGGCTCGGTGCCTGTGGCTCAAGCGGCTAAGGCACCAGCCACATACACCTAAGGTGGCGGATTCGAATCCCCAGCCCGGGCCCGCCAAACAACAATGATGGCTGCAACCAAAAAATGGCCAGGCATTGTGGCGGGCGCCTGTAGTCCCAGCTACTTGGGAGGCTGAGGCAGGAGACTCGCTTGAGCCCAGGAGTTGGAGGTTGCTGTGAGCGTGATGCCATGGCACTCTACCCAGGGGAATAGCTTGAGGCTCCGTCTCAAAAAAAAAAAAAGAGTTGAGAATAAGGGAAGATTTTATTCTTCTGGAAGATCAGGAATGACTTCTTGGAGAAGATAGGTAACATTTGATCTGGGTCTGAATAATTTGTACATTAGAAGAAAGAGGGGGGAAGTATTTCAAGGAACAGAAATAGCATGAGCCGAGGATGGCTGGGCAATGGGGGCTTCCAGGATAGTACAGAAACTGGAAAACAATTTATTCCATTTGGAACAAAAAAAGATAAAAGAAGAGTTGTAAGAAGGAAGGCTAGGAAGATGGTTGGAAGCAGTTGGGGAGCTGGGGAGAAGGAGAATTGAGTGCCAAGCTAAGAAGTCAGTCTTTAGTATTTGAATGGGGAAGATGATGATCAAACTTGACCATGAGGAAACTCACTCTGGCTGCCCAGAGGAGAACAGATTGGAGGGGGAGAGCCTGCTGGCAGGAAGCCCAGGTAGAAAACGATGACAATGGTCTAGGTGAGAAATAATGAGGGTCTGAACTGGAGGTGGTTGTAAGAATGGAGTTGATGCAAGAGGCCTCAGTGTCACCCAAATTGGCAACTGATTGGATGTGGGTGCTGGAGGGAGGGAGTTATAAGTGATGGCAAAGCTTGAGACTAAGTAGCCAAGGATGCCATTCACAGAAAAAGCCCAACAGGATGGGGAGTGGGGGAGGAGGGGGGTGGGGCATGGATCTGATTCCTCCAGCAAAGCCAGCTCACCAAGCACCCTAAACTGTGAAGAATCAGTTCCTTCCTTCATTCATTCATTCATCCTCCAAATTTGTATAGACATCTGTTATGTGCCAGATTGTTCTAGGCTCTGGGGATACATTGCTGAAAAGACGAACTTCCTGCCCAAGCTCTACCAAGGGAGACAGAAAATAAAACATAAGCAAAGATAAAATAGTTCAGGGGGTGAGCAGTACTCTGGAGAAAATGCAGGATGATGGGTGACCAGGTGGAAGGGCAGAGGAAGACATTTAAATAAATTTTTTTTGAGGAGATGGTATTTTGGACAAAGACTTGACTAAAGTAAGGAGGAGACCACAAGTGTGAAGGAGTAAGAATAGCTTGTTTTCAGGGAGCCTCAAATGTGGCTGTGGGAGATAGGCAAAAGGGAGGAGGGGTGTGGAAAAAGGTAGGAGAGGCTGTGAGAGCCAGTCACATAGGTGCTGATAGCCATGAGCAATGAGAAATGGCATGGCGTCAATGAATCCAAGAGAGCCTGAGTCCTGTTCTCCTTGTAGTCTTAGTGCCTAACCCATCAAGCTTGGTCCTCCACAGTGGCTCACTAAATAGTGGTTGAATGAACAAATGTGGGAAATGACCATTTACGTATGAGGCTTCCTGTCTTAGGCTTTATGAACCAGAGATAAAGATTATGGCATTATAAGGGCATAGTAAGCTGTAGTATGATCAAAATGATGAAGCTGAGATGACGTGAATGTGTGTGTTGTCATTCAAGCATTAAAAACTTGAGTGAAATCTGATATTGTATTCAGAATGGCTTGATAACATAAACACTGCAGTTGGCTAAGTCTAAACAGTAAAACATACCTGAAATGATGGTAAAACAATTAAAATGGTGACATTTTTGGTCTTCCTTCATCTCCTTTCCAGGGCCAGTGCACATGCTTCTGGCTTCATGTCACATTTTCCCTTGTGTATCTCATGCCCTCAGCCGTTTCCTTCATAGAGATCTTAAAAGAACTCACCTCTAGCACAAAGGCCCGTGTTTTCAGGACAGGGCATTATAATCTCCAATAAATTGACAGATTCCCAAAAAGGCAGAGAGGGCAGAATTATAGAAGTATAAATTCTTAAGGCCCCTAATTGATGGGTTAAGTCATTCTGCAAGTGGGAATGGGAAAACCGGCTGGACCATGTGAGGGGGAAATTGACGTAGCCTCATCTCAGCTCAGGGCTCCCTAGTTCAAGTTCGCTCTAAATTCATAGGTCTGTCACCTCTAGAAACTAGAAA